TTACCGCCCCCCCGGGGACCCGGCCCGACCGCCGGGCCGCACCAGCGCGCCCGGATTAATTTGATTAGGTTCATATACATTTTATTTATTGTCCCGATGGCATGATTTGGTTTAATATAACGCCAAACGAAACGACCTGGTTGTGGCAAAGTAAATTTTGTTCTGGCAAAAAGTAAAATCCAAAGACGTGCATCGGCCACTTTTTTGCACTCTTTTTTTGTGTGATGATTGTGAACCTGGCGAAATGTTGATTGGTGAAAGGAGGCTCTTTTTGAGGCGCCCTGATAAACGGAGACTAATTGCGCAGCGGGGTCGGGCCGCGTCCGGAGGAGCGGGGGGCCCAAAGCGAGTGCGGCGGGGGCCGACGGGGGCGCCGTCTCGGACGCGACCCCTTCATATGCGTGGTGTTTCCGAGAACGACGCGGCGCGCCCCGCCCCGCCACGGGGGCTTTTGTTGGCCCTGGCGGACGGGCGGGGCGGGGCGGGGCGTGCAAAAGTTAAGGGCACTGCCTTTTACGACGCGTATTAATACCACAAGATTACTACCTATATGGCCCGGGCCCCGAAAGCCTTTGCCGAAAAGCTAAAGGGCCTAAATGCGGTGAGGGCTTCGGGCGCGGCGGGGCCTGGAACGAGCCGGCCTTATGCGACGGTATGATATGCCTGGTGTTTATGGTGTGGCCGCGCTGGGATTGGTGGCGTGGCGGGGTGTGTCGGGGAGATGTTCGAGCTGGCGATGTGAGGCGCGCCAAAGAGGACCGTGCGCATGAGGACTACCACTGCACTGTTACCTACCTACTCGTCGTGGAGCATAGTTGGTGTTCGAGAGCGCTGCGTCTTCCTCGACGTGTCGCCTACTGCCTTCTCTCCCTACCTCGAGAGGCCGTTGTCCTCCCTTCACCAACCCCCTCCGCGCCCCTCAATGCTGCTATACGCCGGCCGATCTCAGTGTCCATATTGCGTCTGGACGTGAGAGAGGCGCAGCAGACCGCGACTACTCGGAGAACAAATGGTGTGCCTCTGTACTATACAACGTTCCTCGAGGAACTCTTCCTCCAGTCTCTCACCCTATTCTCTCTCTCTCTCTCCCTCCCTCTCTCCCCCTCCCCCCC